ATATCTCGGCGGTGAGTGCACCATCTGAGCTGCCGCCTGGACAGTGCCTTAGTTAGGGTCCTAAGATTACTTTGCACGTAAGGTGACCCATATGTCCAGATTTGCCTGGACGCTGCCCTCAAGGAGGAGCGGTGTACAGGAGTTATCAAATGCAGTGTTTGGTGGACCAGCATTTGCGCTCTCGCGCAACCGCTTTGGCTGGACTCTGCAACTCTTCAACATGCTTTCTGATTACTTTCCCATCGCTAGCGTGGGAAAGGCGAAGCCTCGGTCAGTTGTAAGTGATTAGAGAGCACACGGAAGAGGAGCAGAATTCCGCGCGGGAGTGGAGATGCTGGTGTACCCGACACTGCATTTGAAAGCCCTGTATGAATAATGCTGTAAAATCCATAGAATCTTGAGTGAATGGGAGTCGTGCATAACTTGTGTCTTCTTGGCACCATGGCGGCTATGCCAGGTGCGCTGGCATGGAAGATGAAAGTTGAATCTTTTCCCTTCTTCACATAATGTTTCAAACGCGTCCATTACTTACTCAAACTTCATTTCACAATGTATAAGTCACCCAAGATTCCTCCCTGCCGCTTTGCTAGCCCTGAATTCAATGCAAATCGCCGTTTTCCTCTCATTTTCATGTCTTTTCGGCGGAGAGTGTGCTTTTTGCGAAGTCAGGGGGATCGGTCTTCGAAATCGTCGAGTGCTACTTAGTACCGATCCTCCTGAAGAGATCACTATCATGTTCGTTTTCTTGAACATAATTGCCGAGGTTGGAATATGTTGGGCATGAATGGTTGTGAGCTAAACTTGGCGATTAATTTTATTGACTTGACTCAAGAGACTCATTGGAGAAATAGTAAGTGTGAAATACCATATCTCGATTGTCCACTATAGAATGACCTTCAAATATGTGGTAAATCAGGTTATATTGTTTTTAACCATTTGCATGTAAATTTCGCTTATCAGGTATCAATCACCGCTGCTCGTGCTCTCTTCGTGTATCCGCTGACTTTTGTCTTGAATCTTCGTCGACGACCTCGCATTCCTCGCTCGTACCAGCATATGCTGCTATTTGCCGGGTTGCGCGGTGCCATGGCGTTCGCACT